TTTCCCTCAAAGTCAGCGACCTATTTTTTAAAAAAATCTGTCACCCACTTTCCTCCCCTTAGGTAAGTCATTTTCACTGAGGCTCTCTATGGCTGGAGCAGGGAGAGCCGGGAATTCCTTAAGTCTGGCTGAGAGCAAGGCTGGGCTGACCTGATTTATCCCCCTTTTAAGAGGCTGTCTTTGCCTGGTTGTTTATAGTCTCTGGTATGGTCTTCTTTCCTACCACCAACCCTGCCACCCTGCCACGATTTCTTGTCATCTTAGAAGCTTCAGAATCAATTCTCTTCAGAATCAATTACAAATCATTTTTGTAATTCCTCAAAGGCTCAATTACTTATCCAATCCTGCCCTCTTCACACACACACACACACACACACACACACACACACACACACACACACGGCCCAGTGTTCTATTGTGGTATGCCACTGACACGTGGAGATTGTTAGAGCAGCTCACTGACCCTGACTCATATAAAAGGGATACGAACCCTCCCGGGACTGTCAGGGGAGAGGGCACTACGCTGTTCCTTCCACATGCCAAGGAATCAAAGGTGTGCAGGAAAGGGCTCTACCACGGTCGTGTGACCTTAGTGAGACGAGGGCTTTCATGGCAAACACTCACTGGTGGATCCTTTGCTGGCTGAAAGGGGCAGTGTAGCAGTCATTCTCCTCCAGGTCTGGCAGTGTCTCCTTGTCCAGCCTCATTGGCTTCTTGGGTAACCATCTCCGAAACCTGCTGATTTGTTTATCGATCCTGTGGTAAATGAAAGGCAAGACCAAAGGATACAGCACGTCAGCATTGCCCCAGAACATGGGAGGGCAGTCTCCACAGAGCCGTCATCATGACACCACACACTCCTGGCACTCTCGCTGAACTTGTGAAACCCCCACTTGACAGACAGGAAGAAGAGAGCCGCCTCCCCAGTGTTCTTTGCATTTCACCAAGGGGCTGTGATCTGACTGCAGGATACAGCAGCTCTGAGTCCTATGTTTACTCTCATGCCAATAAATGACCAAGATGTCATAACTAGGCTGGAAGGCTCTGGAAAGGAAGCTGACAGCCCCATAAGCTGAGCAGCAAAGACCTTAACTTCTCCTATTCTGCAGGTTCTACGAACTCATTGTATGCTTGGAAAAATCTCCCCATCTGAAGTCAGTAAAGAACTGTGGCTATAGTCAACTCTGGGCAGGGAGCTGTCATCACAACCCAGTGGGTGGACTGTGCACAGGCAGCCCAGTGTCACATTTGCCTCCTGCACCTCACACCTTCCCGGCTCCCACCCGAGCCTCTCAGCAGGGGGCATGCTGTCTAGCTCTCATTTCTCTCTTTTCAAGCTGACCCCATGGTTCTCATGGGGCTGGGACATCATGACACACACATCACTCTGGCCAGGGCACACGATGCCAAGTCAAGGAAAACAACACTGCCCCCAAAGTGGTTTTCAAGCCATGGTTTCCCACCTGCTACCTCCCCGTTCCCTATGACTTCTGATGAAAACATCTGGCTTGCAGTGACCAGATTCTCACTCACAGCTAATCACTAGAAGCCACGCCAGACTTTTAAATGATTATGCTACCTCAGGTATCTATGCCACTGGAAATTTTTTTTTTTCGAGAGCACATATCAAATACTATCTCTGTGAAGTAGACTGAACAGGTATTTTTCTCATTTTATACATCACAAAAGAGACCCATGGCAGGTGATTACCCAGCCAGTGAATAAAGCCAGGACCAAAATGCAGATTTTGGATTCTTGATTGTAGAGATCACCCCAGCCAAAGTAGTTGGTAACAGGAATCTTCACTTAAGAGCTACAGAAGGGACAAATTTCTCTGGGGAAGAAAATCTCTAAACGCCTTCTAAATCTATTAACCAAAAACACATAGAATTTGGGCATTTTTTCCAATTAAAATTATTTACATGGCAATTTATCTTTTTCAGTGCATCTCCCAGATGAAGGGATTACTTTTCATATAACCAACAACTCCAAAATGAAAAGTAACAGTAAACTCCTCTTTTACCACCTTTTATTCTCAGCATTTTCCCAGCCTCACCATGGCCCCCTACTCTGCCTGGTGGTGGCCATCCTTTTTCCAGAAGCCCGGAAAGTTCAAAAGGGAAAGAATCCTCCAGCTTCTCTAGGACCCTTCACTCAAAGGGGACTTGTCCCCACCACATGCACACACACAAGATTCTACCCAGGGTCATATAACCAGGAAACAATAGATGATTAGAAGTGCCCGCAGACCTAGGAAAGGAAAAAAGTTCCCATCTCCTCCATCCTCTATCCTCCTAGTCCTCTGCTCCTCCATCATCTTTTTAAAGACACAGAAAATACAGTGCGATGGTGAGCTTCAGAGAGGCAATATGACACAGTGGTTGAGAACGTGAACTCTGAGGCTGGAGCACCTTGAGTTAAATCCTGGCTCCATAAATATCAGCAGTGTGACTTTGGGCATTTAAGGCATTTAACTTTGCTGGGCATCAGTCTCCTCATCTGTCAAATTGGCATGATAATGGTCCTCAATTCACAGGGTTGTGATAACTAACTGATCAATATGCATATAAAGTCCCCAGAACAGTGCACAAGGAACACTGGCTATTATTACTATCTTTTTTCCAAAAACAAGAGCTTGAGCAACTAGTCTGCCTCTTAACATTTGTGTCTCTTTGCTTTTCAATTCAGAGTTAATTGTGCTTCACCAGCATCTATCACTTGTCCAAGTTCAACGATTCAGTCCTTAAATCAGACTTCCTAGGCTAAGCGGGTTGCTTTCCCTGTGGCGGGCACCTGGCTTTATTTCATCTGGTTGCCTTAAAACTTGTTCAAGAAAGAGGACTTTGGCCCAGAGGATTTTCATAATAGAGCTTTTACCTCCCACACATCTCCAGTCTGCAACACTAATCGGATTACATTCTGCAAAACTTGCATTCTCAGAGAATCTGGGCTCTGTGTGCAACGACTATGAATTAAATCCAGATGGGTACAGTGCTCAGTGCGGGTAAAAACAAATAAAGCTGTAAAAGTTCAGGCATGAATACAGGAATGGAATGGCAGCTTTCAGCAACCAGCTTGTGGCACCACAATTTCAGTGAAAAGGGGGAGATGGTGGAAAGAGTATGAGGCAGGGATGAAAGTGATGAATTCATTGAAAAATGAGGAGGGGGAAAAGAAAGAAAGGGAAGTGAGTGGAGGCTGCACGGGGTGGTGGAAAGAAGCTGGGATTTGGTCTTGGGGTGCCTAAGTCCTGACCCTGGTACTTACCAGCTGTGGGAACTTCCATAAATCACTCACCTTTCTGAGCCTCATTTTTCAAGGGTTTAAAAATGGGATCATCAACACCATCATCATCTTATGGACTTCACAGGGTTGTTAGGAGGCTTATTAAAAGAGGATGGGCATGGGATGCTTTAGAGAAACTGCCAGGTAGACAGCAGTGTTACTAATAACTTATTGAGGACCACTGAGGCTAATGTAAACATGACGGAAAGGAGAGGAACTGGGCCTTTTAAACACTATGGTAGAAGAAAAATATTCAAAAGGTATCTTAAAAATAACTTGCCAGAGATACTAACTGGGGGGGGGGTGGAGGGTGTGGACCAGCCTTCATCAGAGCAGCCTGAGCAGAAGCAGGAGGGCAAAGCAGGACCACTCAGGCTCTGTCACACATGCCAGTCCAGGCTGTGGGCTCTTCACAATGACAGGAAAAACAATGAAACGTGATCAGCAGTTATCCTCTTCCGGCTGGCAGAATGGCCTCCCAAAGATGTCTGCACCCTCATCCCTGGAACCTGCGAACATGCTGTGTGACCTGGCGAAAGGGACTTCGCAGATGTAAGTAAGGTTATGGGTCTTAAATTAGGGAAAGTAACCTGGATTACTCTTATGGACCCATTTAATCACTAAGCCCTTTAATAGCAGAGAACTTTCTCTGGCTGGAGACAGGAAAGACAAGGCAGAGGAGAGGTTAGAGAGATTCAGAGTATGAGGAGGACTCAACTGGCCATCGCTGGCTTTGAGGAGGAAGAGGGCCAGCAGCCAAGGAGTGAAGGCAGCCTCCAGAAGCTGAGAATGACCTGGCTACAAGCCAGTTAAGAAGCAGAGACCCTAGTCCTACAGCTCCATGGAACTGCATCCGGTCAGTAACCTGGCTGAGCCTAGAGGCCAACCCTCCTTCACAGCCCCCAGAGGACAGCCCGCTCACCAACACTGGGATTTCAGCCTGTGAGACCCTGAGCAGAGAAACAAGTGGAAACCTTTCCCAACCCAGACTTCTGATTTGCAGAATTGTGAGCTACTAAATTTGTGTGGTTTTCTGCAGCTAAGTATGTGAGAATGTGTTGTAATAGCAACAAGAAACAAACACACCTCCCTAGTCTGTCTGATCTTCTCCCTGAGACCTGACTGTGGCTAGCTGGACTCCCACAGGCTGAGGCTGAAGTTCCACACGCTGCCCCACCTCCCCAGGTAGGTGGCTCTGGGAATAAGTGTCCCTCTGTGGCTGGATGATGTATGGCCACTTTTCCACAAACCCACTCCTGTCCCCAAACTGCCACTCAGACATCAGTGAGGATCCCCTTCCACCATGGAAAGGAGACACACACAGCAAAATCACCAGGCTGGAAAGTGTGAGTCTCAAGCTGGATGTCTGGGACAAGCCTCCCCAGGCCTTGGTAGCCTCCTCTCTAAAATGATGATCAGATGCTCTCTGAATACATGTTGGTGGGGATTTGGGCAGTCATGTCTTGGCTCTAGCATTCCAAACAAACCCGAGTTAATAAAGAGCTTTCCTTTTCAAAATGCATAATGGATAACCTTCTGTATAGAATGATAACCCTGGAGTCAGCTAGAAGGGAATTCACATCGTCACTGCTCAGCTTGCAAAGTCGGGGGGATGCCATGCTGGGCAAGGGACTAAACATCTGTGAGCTAACTGACCCACTGCATAAGGGAGTGGTGAGGATAACGGAGGACTGTACACAATGCTCAATGAAGTGGTGGTTTCTAGGATGAGGAAAATGAAGATGACAATGAACTTTTATTTACCAAGTTCTCAACAGACATTCAAGAGCTATGATTCTCACTTGTGCACTGAAGTCTCTACTCCCATGTTGTGTCTCATAAACGTTACTGAACAGGCAATCCCGAAATTCACTTAGATATGGCAAAGTCGAGAAGCCAACTACCCAGAAAGAATCCCATTTGTCTCTTCCACATAGCAATAGCGCTGACTTAATAAAGTCTCCTCTGACAGGGAAAAGAGAAAATACGGGCTTAATGATATAGCATTGATTTCAGTTGGATACAATGTCACTCTGTCCCATTTCTGCCATTTACTGAGCAAAAGCCCTCTTACAGACTACACAGGCAAATCAATAAAGAGAAGATGGAGCATCCACTTAGGCATTTGTGGCCTCGACTTGTCAAGTTAATATCTGTACTAAAAGGTGAGTTACTGTCTCAAGAAAGGTGTCCTGATGATGAGTTCAGGGTCCTCCCGAAAATTCTGGTTCATGACAAGAGAGGTTGTGGGTAGCTGGAAAGAGCTTATGGCTCAGCACAGGCGCTGACAAACGGGCATAGACCTGCCACCTCTGCCAGCCTGTGCCTCAGAGTGTGCCTTGGAATATGCCTCAGGAAGGTCCCACTTAAAGCAATCTGACCCTCAGTTTTCTCCGCTGTAAAGGGGAGCCAGTCCTACTCCTCTGTAGGACTGGTGACGATTACAGAAAAGGCCACGTGAAATGGATTTCACTCCTAACAGGCTACCTGTCTGGACGCCTTTCTAAATCACTGGCTGTGCACGAGAGTCCCAACCTGAATGCCAAGGGGACATCCCGAAGAAGCAGAAAACAAGGCCTTTTCCCTGAGCCACTAACAACTCAGGAGGGAATTGGTCCTAATGACAACTAAATTAGGCTGAATTAAATGAAACAGGCCACCTCAGAGACACCTGCTTTTCCCCAGACCAGAAGATTATAATAATAGCATCATGTTTTGAACAATTCAATTACATTTCCAGGGATAATACGCCTGGAGAGAACCTACAGATGAGTTGTGTTTTCTTTTCAATGGCAGCACCACACACAGGCAGTAAGTGAAGCCCTCCTGGACTGGTAACAGACAGCAGGAGACCTGCATTTCTTTTTCCTCTTCTTAGAGCCAAGGCCCCTGTATTTGCAGCCACTCCTTGGATAGGAGTTAGGGATCTTTGGAAGCTAATGCCATTCTTTTAGGTCACAAGGCTACTAATTGGGGCACAGCCTAGATATCTTATAGAAGAGTCCAAAGGCTTTGGAACGTTTACATATATTAATTTTTAAAACGAGGATGGAAATATCCAAGCCGTCTTGTATTCTGGCTGTATACTCATCGGATAAGACTGCAACTGCACTGAATGTATAATGCAGCAGGGTCCAGCATCCCCTCTGCCGAGCATTGCGAAGGATCACATCAGGCAGGATGTGTATGGCGGAGCAGAGGGAAAAAATGAGTGCTAATGAGACCTCAGCTACAAGCCATCTACAGTAAGCAGATTTGTTACTTTGTAAGCACATCTTCTGCAGACTGTATCTGTACTATCTGGTGAAGGCAAAAAAAAAAATTAATGGGGCAGAAGGAAGATGGTAAATTTCCTTTCTTTACTGGATAGGTAACTTTTAATGCCTGTAAGCCCGCCCAAAGATAAGTGTCAAAGCAGCATTTAATAGACCAGGTATGTGAATGAAAAGAGCATTTACACCAAAAATACATATCTGAACAACATGAATGTGCCTCATGGTGTCACATAACGTTTCACAAATACAGACATTTGTGAAATGATGCTTTATTTTTCTGCCTGCTCAGACACTTCACATTTTTAAATTCATTTCTCTTATCCTCAAAGGAGATAGGTTTGCTTCATTGGTGCTTTTGGGGATTAATGAAGTGAAATATTATTTACATGAATGAAACTAAAAGCTAAATTAAATAACCCTATTTAGCACAACATGATAGTTCTAGAATACTGGAAGTCAGCATCTTATTACTGGTACACAACGAGGGTGACAAGTTATAGATGTAACCTTCAGTTTGTAATGTCACACCTGGCTACAAAGAGACACAGTCCACATCTAAATCAGCCTGTTCTGAGGTGAAACAAAGAGTTAAAGACACAAAATTTTCTGACAAACTGCATTTACAAATTCGCATCAGACATCAGGCTTCGAAAAATTACACCACCACTCTGATGCCCCAAGTTTATTTCTATGTGGTCAACAGTGAAGCTTATCTTAAGTGGTGAATCTGAATCAGTGCGTCATACAACCAGAATCAGGGTTTCTTTCCCTGTATTTTGACCCAGAGTTTCCATTGCCTAGGTTCCTCTATGGTTGTGATTTAAGCACTTGAGTAGCATCAGCTTTTTCAGGCCAACAGTTAAGTGTTTAGTCAGCTGTTCTTCCAGTTCAAGAAACAAAGGTTTCCAAGCTCTTACTCACTACCTCCCTTCTACACACACGGAGAACATGTGCTGGCTCGCGTGTTCACAGTCTCTCTGCCTGTCCTCCTGCTCTAGCAGACCTCGTCCGTTCTCCACCAGCTGTAATTTGATTTGACTACCATCTACTCAGTAGTCATCATTCCCAAAATGTAAGAGTCCCAAATAAGCAACATCGATATCACTTGGGACCTTGATGGAGGGATCTAGAGAGAGAACTCCTGAGCCTCACCTCAGAAACCTCGGGGCAGGGCCCAGCAATCTGAGTATGAGAAAGCCCTGCAGACTATCCTGATGCATGCCGAAGTCTGAGAACCACCACTCCACGGAGACCGCTAGTGTGGTGGTTATCATGGTGACCCAAAGCCAAGTGTCATCTCTCACCCTTCATCAGTAGCTAAAGAACCCCTCTTCTTACAGGAACTCACACATGGTGCCTTTGACACTGCCTTCCCTTAGTTTCCCTCCTACTTCTTAAATTGTTCCTTTTCATCTTCCCCATATCTTCCTGTCTCCTTAAAGCAGATTTTCCAAGGAACTGCTTCTGGCCCTCTTCTCTTCACTCCCTACATCATTCCTGGGAAATTTCATCCACCCTCCTGGCTACAGTCATGACCTCTATGGCTTTGTCTCCCAAACTGGATTCTCTAGCTTTGCCATCAGTTTCAAAAGCCTTCAGGACATCAACACCTCAAAGACCTACTGTGAGTTATAATACAGAATTGTTACAACAAAAATCATCTTTCTCACCACACCTGTATTGCTGTTAATTTCCAAAGAGTTCCAATTTCTTCTTTTACCTCCCAACCCTTTAGTATGGAAACCTCTTTCTTCCCACCACCATCTCTCATTTTCCAAATACCTGCTAAATGCTAGGTCCTTTTGCCTAAAATCTCTCAATCTTTCTCATATACTTTGCTGTTTTACTGTAGATTATTTTCTGTCTATCTAGGGAGCAGAACTACAACCTGGGTGTTTCAGAGTGAAAGCTAAAGAGAGAGAAATTATGGATTATTTTCAGGAAGAACCTTCTAATAGTCAGGTGTTCACAGATGGGTTTGGGAATTCCCTCTCTCCAGAGATGTTCAAATGCAGGTTGGCTGATTCTATAGCCAAGGTTTAAGTAGCTGATGAATAATTGGACTTGATGGCATCTTATATCCCATCCAACACTTGGGTTATATGGATCCTTTATCACCATATTCTTCCAAGCCCTCATTGCTCACTCTTCCCCATGGTGTGAGGAAATGTTTCAGTCCCCAGTCTGTCTGACACTTTAGGCAGTCCTGGTTTTCCTATGCTTTTCTTTGTCACCTCCCCTTTCCCTATGCAAATCCTCACACGTGTATGGAGATTCACTCATTCATTCACCCCACCTATTACATGCTAGTGCCGGAAACACAGAATTGGATGAGCCATCCATACCTTCCAGGTGGAGAGATGGACATCTGCATCACAGATTACAGCACAGGCCCAGCAATCTGTGCTTTAAGAAGCCCTCCAGGTGATTCTCATGGTGGCTAAAGTCTGAGAACTATTGAGAACTACAGAAATAGGCTAAAGTGTCCATCAGATTTTTGCAGAAGGTCATTATGTGACCAAGGGACTAATCTAATTGTGGTAAATCCAAATGCCATGGCAACTGCCTGATGAAAGAAGAATTGCTAATGAGGAAGCTGCTCCGGGAAATTTTTGGAAACCACATCTTACTTTCTTTACTGCTCATTCTCACACCATACTTTGTTGAGTGCACATGTATATATCAACTACTCTTATTCTTCTGCACAGCACATGAACAGAGTGAACTTGAGCCTTAAATCTCATAGAACTCAACTCTTAAGATGTTTAGACAAATGCAACGGTTTCCAAGTTTAACTATCAGCTCAGCTCAGGGTGAATGGTTGTAGAAGACCAATTAAAAGTTTGAAATTTGACTGCCAATGATCACCACAGAATCAAATTCAAGGACATCACTAATGCCTCACCTTCATCCATGACTTCTCAAAAAACAAGCTTAGGAAGGCTACGTAGGACAGTAAAGATAATTTCGTCCAGTAGGATTTGGGGGGAGGTGGGGTTAAAAAAGAGGGTAGGAAGGCTTCTGAGTAAGGTAACACATCTGCATACTTTATTAACAAAATACTACTAACTTAGGAGGCCCCTGCACCTTTTTTTGAAAAGGTGACTGTCTGCACTTCAAGATTTGCAGTTACACACAGTGAGTGGGGGGAGGAATTTGTGTGGGGAAAAAAATAACATTCAGACCAAAGATGCTTTCTAAACAGCTGGGCTTTCTGGTAATTTATCCAACAGAAAAGAATGGAGGAAAAAAACTCCAAAGCCAGCCTCAACACTCCTGTAGATAAATTCTGTCTCCTCAGTGTGGAGCAGTCACAAGGAAGACTCTAAGAGAAGCACTGCCACCTTTGTTTTTTTGCTTCAGGCTACCCTGAAAAAATAGCTCTATTTGGCGTGGCAGCCAGGTTTCCCACGTGGCAAAGGCCCAGCTTCCCCAGCCTGTATTCCTTGTCACTGTTGGAGCACACAGGCCAACGGCTGACACGAACACCATCATGACAGAGCATGCTACTAACCTGCTCATGAACTTGTACCGGCGGGGCAGGTAATAGATTTTTCTCCTGGAAGAACAGCAAAAATGAAGCCAGTCGAGAAGAAAACCCATCGTCAGTTACAGTTTGAACTAGCAAGGAAGGAAAGGAGATTGAAGATAGAAGCCTGTAAGAGGTGAAGAAGAAAAAACTAAAAAGAGATTAACAGTGAGAAATGCAGTGGGAACGTAGGGCATGCATTTTTGAGTCATGAAATCTTATGAAATAAATTTCCATTGATATTTCTTCCCCTCCTCGTTACCGTAATTTTTTAATGGTTGCTCCTCACCTACCAAAACCTGTGCAGAGCAATAATTTGGAGCAACTGGTATTTGTCTGAATTCAGCTGAGGTCAGTTTTTTTTTTCAGGGATGCAGAAATGGATTGCCAGCCTGCCACATACATAATTTAATGGGCATGTGATTATGCTAACTAATATTTATATAGCATTTTAAGTTTATAGAATGCTTCTCTCACCTGATATAGGCAAGGGTAACATAAAAATATGCATAATTTATAACCAGTATGGGAAGGACACTAACAAATAAACATCAACATCTTGCTGCAAATAACCACACTAGAGCATACTGCCTAACCAGTGACCCCCATACTGGTGAATTCAAGAGGTAAACCAAGGAGTTCTGGCAAAAAAATTTTTTTAAATCAGACTTATTAAGGATCTATTGTACTTCGGTAACACGCATTTTAAGAAGTATTACAGATGCAAATTCTGGGTGTAGTGTGAATGGACAGCACATGCATCAGATGCTTTATTAAAATGCAATCTCCATTTCCATAGTTTGGGCTTCAACCAATGGGGCAGTAATGAAGCTGATACGGTCTGTATGTATTCTGAACTGTTACTGAGCTATCTCAGTTCGAGAAAATGGGAAGTTTATACACCAAAACTTATTGCAGATCTGTGAAAACTTAAAAACATATCCCATGTTTGTAAAAGACAGAATTAGAGAGGCAATAAAAAGATCGGTGGCTGCCAGGGGTTCGGGGTGGGGGGAGAAGGGATAGGTAAATGGAGCAGAGGGGGTTTTTAAGGGCAGTGAAACTATTCTGCATGATACCATAAGGGGGGATACATAACTTCTGTCAAAACCCATAGAATTGTACAAGACAGAGAGACTAAACTATGGACTTTATTTATTTACTTTTTAATGGAGATACTGGGGATGGAACCCAGGACCTTGTGTATACTAAGCAAGCAGTCTACCACTGAGCTATACCCTTCCCCTGGACTTTAGATAGTAATAATTTATCAATATTGGTCTATCAGTTGTACCAAATACACCACACTAATGCAAGGTATTAATAATAAGGAAACTAAAGTGCGGTGAGGGGGGTATATGGGAACACTCTATACTATCTACTCCATTTTTTTGTACACCTAAAAATGCTCTAAAAACAGCATATATCCATGGACGTATATTTAGCAGAAGCAGGTTTTATTGACAATTTCCCACAAGAAATCTATTCCTCAACTTCCTTTTAAACATTGTAGAAATAAAAATCCAAGGAGACTAAACCCGGGATTCTTAAGTGCAGTCTACTGAAAATAATAAAGATGGGTAAGATTCTTAGTGGCATTTAAATAGTCAGCCAAATTGATGTTTGCACATTTGGTTGAAATGATACAGCAGGGCAGTTTCTCCTTTGGAAATACATAAGTCTCCTTAGGCTAGAATTATTTGTCTGAAACAGTGGACAAAATGATAGCATAAATTTTAAATGCATCTGGTCGCATCAAGCGAAAGTATGCTTAGGTAAAATCACATCAATATTAACGAGGCCAATTAGTACCCACACATTAACAGTATTTTCTCCTAAAATATTGTCCTGCAAGAATTCCTACATTTAAGAAAAAGATGACTATTCACAGTAATAAGGCTTTTCATTTTATTGCCTGGATCACATTCTCTGAAAGCCACACAAGAGAAGTTCTCACGCTGCTTGCAGGCAGCACTTCTCTGCTACGTAATGAGTGTTCAGAGGTGCCACCTATGATACAGCCAGGTCCTTCAGAGATGAAGTGCTTCCAGGTACTAGGGGAACTTGCCGTGCATTCACACAGCCCAAGTTTCCACAGTCTGCTTGGCTTCTTTGCTCAAGAAGCGTGTCCCGGCAGAATATTGGTGAGATTGCCACTGCGGAGGGGAGTGTCAGTTTCACTAGGATTCACTACCTTACTTTTATCAAAAGGTAGACTTTTTAGCTCTGTTGGCTATAGATGTTGGTCTGATATATGACTCTGTCTAAGCATAGATTTCTTTCCTTTTTGGTCCCTATGTGTGATATAGTAATAATCCACATTGATAAATAACTGGCTGTGATTAATTATAAATACAGTGTAACAACAAACAAAACTGCTATTCCTTCTCTCCTGGTGGAGATATATATATATAAAATTTTGTGTATATATGTATATAATTTTATAAAATAATTTTGAAATCTTTTAAAAAATATATACAATTAAAAAAAATCCTTGGGTTCCACGATATCCTTGGTAATTTTATTTAAAATACAAAAATAAATCAAAAGCTTAGAACTATGTTTGTCCTTTGAGAGTTTTGCCTTAAGGCAAATGGATGCTAGAAATCCCAACCCCTATTTTGAGTTGGTATTAGGAAAGACCAATCAACAAAGAACATGAGATGCACCAGGGAGATGTATTACAGGTCTATGAATGGAAATTGCCCCTCTCTAAATGTGTCCCTAGCTCCTCTTCATTTGTAAGAATATAGATGGTTCTCTGTCTCGGTAACTTTCCGCAGCTCACTAAGAGGTATATTTTAGAACTGGCACCAGTTTGCTTAATTTCTGTCCTCTGATGTGGTCTTATTGGCAAATTGTGAACCAAAAGTATTTAATTCTTTAGTCTCTTTGGAACTATCCTTGGTACTAAATCCCTTCACCTCCTTTAAGAGACTCCATTATTCCCACATATCTTGGCATTTATAATCTGAGGTTTAATACTTTATTTCATTTCCACCTAGCAAATGATCACCTTTCCCTAGTCTATAGGGAAAATAAGAATATTCACCATGAGATGAAGGAAGACAAATCCTTTTAAATCACTAAGCCATCCATGTAAAGTATTCCTGTTCCCCTCAGAATAAATATCAATGCTTGTGTTTGCACAGAATTTAATGACCTGACTTTTAAAATTTTTTTAAAAAGGTTATTTTAAAAATAAGATCACATTTTCCTGAAATTTCTTTAACTTATTTCACTGGAAGCAGATTTTAATTTTTTTCTGGAAGGGACCAGTAGGTAAGGACCCACACCACTCATCCTGGGGTCTGGCTGTTCAAAGAAGCAGTACACAGGGTTTCTAAAAATGGCACTTTGGAAATGAAAATGCCACTTAGAAAATACTTCTTTCTCACAGGCACTTGAACTATCTACCTAAGGACTGAATTAGCCAGACATTTTCACAAAAAGCCATGAAGTCATCATTAGCCA